AAAAACTATCTTACACTAGAAAGTGCTACATTGGTATAACCCCCTCCTACTCCCAGCGTACCTGTTAGTGTCCTAAGAGGATGGACACCTTTTCTACTGTTTCACCAAGCCATTTTTCTCTATTTTCAAGATAATTTTTTCTACACGTGCTGTTTGAGCTGGTCTCTTTATACTAGTAATTGGATCCACATATCCTTAGCAATAGCTTTGGAAATCATGACATTGCACACAGAAGACATGCTTTGCTTGTAACATTCACCCTAACATACACTCTGTGGGACAGACTAAAGCCAGCCATAGATGGTTAAAATCTTGGCCGAAATTCAAACCATGTACTGTATGGGCAGGCTAAATGTACCCAAGTGGTCGATGAATCAATTTGGGTACAACCAGCCTGCTGGACTTTATATGCAATGATTGCTAGCAGCTGTTAGCCGTCCCCACCGGGAGAACACAAAGGCTCGGCGGGAGGGATTCCCATGTCACCATCTATGACCTGAATTAGTCACATGGTCAAGTCTCTAGTATGAGAGTGGGAGGGGATGTCTCTTCTTAGAGTTATTTTGCAGTTGGTGTAATCTGATCTCTGTTATTTAAGACCACTAAATCTGTTGCTCTTGTCTAAACCTCACAACCTGATGCCTGTAATTTTTTTAATTAGGAATTGTTCATATGCAGCATTTATATTTACTTGAATAAACAAAATAAAAAGTAAATCCAATTATATATATATTAAAAAAAAAAAAAAATACTATATATACTTAGGATCTGAACATTATAAGCAAAATACATGCAAATTGGACTACAGATTACCCAAAACTTTTTAACATTTTTAATAAAATGGTGAAGGGTTAGAACCCTTCTGCTAGTAAGACACAGTTTTATTTTTCCAGGAGAGTATTTTCACTGGGACTGAAAGTGAAGGAGATTACAAAATGTTTTGAGATGTCGCAAAAACAGAATAGGGAAAAAAAGGGACAATTGTTCTAGTGACAACTAAAATGTGATTTTTTCATAATTGCTATGCCTGATCCATCAGAACCCACATGCCCCCAAGTGTATTTATAAATTTGCCCACATAGATACAATTTACAATGCACACTTCATAATATAAGCTACTCCTACTGTCTGACAGTTGATCGCATATCGTGGGGTCCATGTCCCCGCATTTGATAAAGCCACACTTCTTCCCTTGTGGATCCAATTGCAAAATTTGCAATGTCCACATGGGAACGTACCTCTGTGTCTAATTACTGGAGGAACCATATTTTGCAGGTGGCTATGCATCAGATAGTCTTTTTGTACTGGGGGAACCCTATTTTACAGATGGCTATGCATCAGGTACGCTCTTAGGGATCTGGCGCTCCTAAAAGACATGCAGATGTTCAAACCCCGGTATGAATAAGGGGTTATTCAGGAGCTGAAGAAGGAATAGGGACACCAGGCTGCTTGAATATTGAACCGATTCACAAAGTCTCAGGCTATGCATCATAAGAGTGCTTAAACAAGTGGGGCATAGCTTCTGTAGGAGCCACAATACTGTCGTTACTGAAATGTATGCGCAGCTGGGTATTTTTAGAAGCACCCAAAGAGAGACCTCAGATGTCACATGGTAATTTGTGAGATTTGCGCTGCATAATAGTATTTTGCCACATGCAGGACCCCAAGCCCATCTCGCAGCCTGTGGGCATAGAGGGTAGAGCGGGAGTCTCTGGGATGCTTGTAGGCCCAAATGAAAGAGAGGATTCTGTTCTGGAGTAGGCGTAGATAGAAATAGGGGACTCAGTCTGGTAAGGTTCAAAAATAATATAGGATCTTAGGAAGGATGGTCATCTTGACTGCATGAATGTGGCCAATCCAGGACAAGGTGGGAAAGCACCTGGATTCCATAAGAGTAGAGACAGAGTGCAGGAGAAGATAGAAGTTAGTCGCAAAAGGGAAGAATAAGAGGGAGCCAGTTTGATGCCCAAATGCTTGCACAATGATAAGGGAAATTTGATTGGAGGTGGGAGACCAAGGACTGTGGAACAGAAATGTTCAGGGAGGTTGTCTTGTGAGGACAGAGCTGGAGGCCAGCAATAATGGAGAAATGAGCCAGGAGGTTTTGTAAGTTGGGCAAGGTGGTGATCGAGTTAGAAAGGGTTAAGAGAGCATCATAGGTTCATTTTGAAGGAATCGCCTGCAAAATATAAGCTCACGATACTGAGGTCAGTTTGGAGGGCGATGGCCAAAGAGTCGAGAGCTAGGATGAAGAGGACTGGGAACAAGTGATCTCCCTGTCTCCTGCCCAGAAAAATAGGGAATGAGGCTGAGGAGAAGCCCGTGTAGCAAATGTTGACCATAGAGGAGGAAATGGCTGGCTTAATTGCTGAGAGCCAAGCAAGAATTGACTTCCTGAAGACCCAGGGTCATAGTATGTATCGCAAATAGTCCCAAGAAAGGGTATTGAACGCTTTATAAATGTCAAGTGAAAGAAGAAAACCTGGGATCTTGCGCTGGTTCATCAGGGTAATGTGATGCATCACTTTTTCAAAAATTGTCTCCCACCGGATGACTCCAGAAACTATATGTCCTCATTCAATAAAGAAATTGGTCAGAAGGCTTGGGGATCCTGGGTATTTTCAGTGGTCTTGGGAATCACGGAGATATGTACCTGCAAAGAGTCTGGAGAGGGTAGCGCACTGTGCTTCATACTATTGAAATATACTGCCAGGTGGGAGATCAGAAGGGCCAGTGAAGCCATCTGGACTTTTAGCTTTTGAAGGGCATATCTATTTAATGGCCTGGGCTACTTCCATCTTCCTGATGTCAGCATTAAGTGTCTTGGAGAGAGAGGGGAGATGGAGCTTGCGGAAGAAATTATCTGCTAGGTCAACTGAAAACGAAGTCGGGTTGCTATAAAGAGTGGATAAAAAGTCCGAAAAAGAATTGTCGATTTTCATCAGGTCCGAAGCGAGGTCACCTCCAGTGGAGTGAAGTCAGATAGGTTTATGTGTGCATCCTGCTGCGTTCAGTCACCTGGCAAGCACTGTTCCAGGTTTGTTTGCACAAGAATAGTACTTATGTTTGGTCCAACAAAGGGCCTTCTCGGCCTTATCAGATGCCAGGAGATCGAACTCAGCAGCAATAGTGTCTCGAGCCCAATTCAAGTTTGAGGGGTGAGCTTTCCATACTGCATCAGCAGTGGTAAGTTTTTCAGAAAGAGCATGGAGCTTTCCCTCCCTCTCCTTTTGAGGAGGTGAGTTGTATAATGGGACTTGTGAGCTTCTCAGAGGGAGATTGCTGAGGACACTGAACCAACATTATCAGTAAAAAAACATTGAATGTGTGTATGGATATCAAGGTAGGTGTCCTGAGGTGTGAGAAGGGAGTTGTTAGGCCTCAAGTGGGGAGAGAGGTGGGAAAGGCCTGAAATTGTGATGAGGAATATGATCGGGTTGTGGTCTGACCATGGTGTGAAGGAGATCAATACTCTGTAAATGCAGGATATAAAGACTAGGTTGACCCTACAAAAACTATTATGTGGATGTGAGTAGCAAGTAATGTCTTCAAGCGTCCACCAAGCCATGGGTTCGCAGGAATACCCTTAACTGGTCCCCCACAGATGGATCATGAGATGGAGAGTATTGTCTGTCCATAGTGGAATCTAAGGCCACATTTGAGTCCCCCATAAGGAGAAGGGCCACAGAGCAATGTTGAGAGACCAACTTGAGGTGAAAAAAGAATCTGTGCTAGAAGCTGTTGGTGAGCATATTTTTTGACCAGTTACGTTGTGTTTGTTCAGTTTCTTGAAGTAGTAGATATCTGTCAGTCGGGTCAATTATTTCCTTAGTACAGGAGAACAAGAAGTGCGCGACAGAACACTATTAAAACCCCTCTATGTTTTTCAGGGGGCTGAAGCCAAGTGAAAGGTGGGGGAATGAGGAGAAAGATATTTTGGAGCTGAGGAGGAGGAAATCCTGCTCTCTTATAGGCATACAATGTTGACATGACTTGAGTTAAGAAAATAACAGTTTTGACCACATCATCAGATAATTAAAGCCATGGATATTATGGGAGTAGATTTTGAGCGAAGCAGAGGCCATGGTGAGGAGATAGAGTGGAACTGGGGTCAGTGGGCTGTGATGACTCGGGTATGGTTTTGGCTGTAATAAAGATCGTCCAGTCTGCAGAGCCTCCAAGAGTGGAAAGGAAAAAAAAAAAAAAGTTAAAAAGGAAGGGAGAAGGAATTTGGAAAAAATGCAAGGCTTTAACCATTCCGCTGCTCCAGGCCTGACAGACCATTATAAAAAGAAAAGGATCTAGGAGGATCCCTCGCCTTCCCCCGTAAAAAAAGAGAGAAGCTGCACAGCAACAAATAATGAGAAAAAAAAGGTGGTGGGGGAAGTATAAGAAAACAAAACAGGTAATAAGTTAGTCAGTTGGTAACCTTTGTGTGTTTGACCTGCAGGTCACCGTACTCCGGGGGGAAATGTACCAAGAGCATGTACAAGATCAAATGTACATCAAATGTACCAACACTGAGATACAGCCTAAGGACAGTTCTCCAAGGAACACCAAAGCAGTAATCTGCCCACTGCTAGTCCACTGAAAGCCAGTACCTGTGTGGGCATGGAGGAAGAGTCTGCAGGAGCCCTGCATTGCACTCTTTGCAGGTTGCTTTACTAACAATTCTTCCTGCAGACCTATGTGGGCTTGTTATTATTTCTTTGTAAAGGTGGCATTAGCTTGCATAGCCATTTGCATTGGGAGGGAGGCTGGAATAAATGTAAACAACCATCTTTGTATGGAAGGTCGGCTTTACATGTTGTATATTGCTGCATTTCATACAACTTGTACGGAGAGTCGTGCACACAACCCACCAAGAAGCGCCCTCACCGCTCACGCTGAGCCAGTTTGTCTACATCACATCACACAATCAGCCACTGCCGCCGTCCGCACAACCCCCAGCACCACGCCCCTCGGTCACATTGGATGTCACATGACAAGGGTCACATGACGTCGGACACCCAGGAAGTGAAGTTGTCAGTAGGCCCGGGCAGTATGGAGAGATTGGACAAAGCAGCTCTGAACGCCGCCAGCTTCCCTCCGCCGGACTTCAGGCAGTAAGTGGAGCCCCAATATTAGGGAGTGAGGGGGCGGGACTGAGCACGCCGCACCGTCCTTCTCATAAGGTGTCATTGGTGCTGATGGAGCGCGATGTGAGCGCAGCATACCGACTGATCCCCCATCATCACACCCTGCACGTCACGCCGATCCTATACCCACCCTCCACGTCACACGGATCATATGCCCACCCTGTACGTCACGCCGATCCTATGCCCACCCTGTACGGATCCATCACTGTACGCCGATCCTATGCCCACCCTGTACGTCACGCCGATCGTATGCCCACCCTGTACGTCACACGGATCCTATGCCCACCCTGTACGTCACGCCGATCGTATGCCCACCCGGATCGTATGCCCACCCGGTACGTCACGCCGATCCTATGCCCACCCTGTACGTCACGCCGATCCTATGCCACCCTGTACGTCATGCCGTCACGATCGTATGCGCACCCTGTACGTCACTATGCCCACCCTGTACGTCGTATGTACGTCACGCCCCTATGTACGTCACGGATCGTATGCCCACCCGTATCACGCCGATGTATGCCCACCCTGTACGTCACGCCGATCGATGCGCACCCTGTACGTCACGCCGATCCGTATGCCACCCTGTATGTCACGCCGATCACCTGTACGTCACGCCGATCCTCTGCGCACCCTGTACGTCACACGATCCTCTGCGACCCTATGTACGTCCCGATCCCTGCGCACCCTGTACGTCACGCCGATCCTATGCCACCCTGTACGTCACACGGATCCTATGCCCACCCTCGTATGTGCCCACCTGTACGTCACGGATCGTATGCCCACCCTGTACGTCACGCCGATGCCCACCCGTATGCCCACCCTGTACGTCACGCCGATCCTATGCCACCCTGTACCACACCCGATCGTCTACTTCACACGGATCCTATGCCCACCCTGTACGTCACGCCGATCGTATGCCCACCCTGTACGTCACGCGATCGTATGCCCACACCTGTGCGCACCTGTCACGCCGATCCTCTGCGCACCCTGTACGTCACGCCGATCCTCTCGTATGCACGCCAGTCCTCTGCGCACCCTGTCACGCCGATCCTCTGCGCACCCTGTACGTCACGCCGGTCCTCTGCGCACCCTGTATCACGCCGGTCCTCTGCGCACCCTGTACGTCACGCCGGTCCTCTGCGCACCCTGTACGTCACGCCGGTCCTCTGCGCACCCTGTACGTCACGCGGTCCTCTGCGCACCCTGTACGTCACGCCGTCCTCTGCGCACCCTGGTCACGCCGGGTCCTCTGCGCACCCTGTACGTCACGCCGGTCCTCTGCGCACCCTGTACGTCACGCCTGGTCGGTCCTCTGCGCACCCTGTACGTCACGCCGGTCCTCTGCGCACCCTGTACGTCACGCCGGTCCTATGCGCACCCTGTACGTCACGGTCCGATCCTGTACGTCACGCCGATCCTATACGCACCCTGTACGTCACATAGAGTAGTTCAGCGCTATAACAATAAAAATCACATTCAATGTAAGCAACGGTCTGTGTGACTAAAAGAGCCAGGTAACTGGTAGGATCAATGGCGGTGCTCCGTGAGAAATTTCAGAATTACGCACTCACCAGATGCGTAATAGTTATACGCATGAAGTATCACATCCAAGGATTTCCTCATCAGGTAATGGTCTGGTCATGGTTAGGTACTCATCCTTCAGTGTGGTAATCGGCAAAAAGCCCAGGGATCAGATTAATTGGATCCAGCTAACCAGAGGTCCCTATAAGAGATAGATAGAAGAGGGTGCCTATTTACAGGATATCTTCCTTCTCTGGGTCAGGAAACTGGATCTCAGTAATGGGCTCTGCAAATAAATACCTCCAAAGTCAAAGATGGCTGCTGGGCCTCCACGTGGCTCCGGCGGCGTAGCGGCATGACGTCCTGGCTCCTTCTTATGTGCGCACGCACTTTCAGAGGAAGAGACCGTGTACGTCGCGCGGATCCTGTGCCCACCGTGTACGTCGCAGGGATCCTATACAGTGGATGTAAAAAGTCTACACACCCTTGTTAAAATGTCAGGTTTCTGTGATGTAAAAAAGTGAGAGAAAGATCAATCATTTCAAAACGTTTTCCACCTTTTAATGTAACCTATACACTGTATAACTCATTTTAACAACAAACTGAAATCTTTTAGGTGGAGGGAAGTAAAAATAAAAAACTAAAATAATGTGGTTGCATAAGTGTGCACACCCTTAAACTAATACTTTGTTGAAGAACCTTTTGATTTGATTCCAGCACTCAGTCTTTTTGGGTATGAGTCTATCAGCATGGTACATCTTGACTTGGCAATATCTGCCCACTCTTCTTGCAAAAACACTCCCAATCTGTCAGATTGCGAGGGCATCTCCTGTGCACAGTCCTCTTCAGATTACCCCACAGATTTTTGATCAAATTCAGGTCTGGGCTCTGGCTGGGCCATTCCAAAGCTTCCATCTTCTTCTGGTGAAGCCATTCTTTTGTTGATTTGGATGAATGCTTTGGGTCGTTGTCATGCTGAAAGATAAAGTTCCTCTCCATGTTCAGCTTTCTAGCAGAAGCCTGAAGGTTTTTGTGCCAATATTGACTGGTATTTGGAACTCTTCATAATTCCCTCTACCTTGACTAAGGCCCCAGTTCCAGCAGAAGAAAAACAACCCCAAAGCATGATGCTGTCACCACCAAGCTTCACTGTGGGTATGGTGTTCTTTTGGTGATGTGCAATGTTGTTTTTGCGCCATATCTTTTGGAATTATGGCCACAAAGTTCATCCTTGGTTTCATAAGACCATAACACATTTTCCCACATGCTTTTGGGAGACTTCAGATATGTTTTTACAAAATTTAGCCGGGCTTGGATGTTCTTCTTCGTAAGAAAAGGCTTCCGTCTTGCCATTGTACCTCATAGCCCAGACATATGAAGAATACGGGAGATTGTTGTCACATATACCACACAGCCAGTACTTGCCATATATTCCTGTAACTCCTTTAATGTTGCTGTAGGCCTCTTGGCAGCCTCCCAGACCAGTTTTCTTCTTGTCTTTTCATCAATTTTAGAGGGATGTCCAGTTCTTGGTAATGTCACTGTTGCGCCATAGCTTTTTGCAGACCATGGCTTTTGCTGTAGGATGTGCCTAAGAAAATGTCTGTAAAGACCTACTATTAACATGATTTTAAATGCAATTGCTTAATTCTGAACACAGCTACATCCCCAGTTATAAGAGGGTGTGCACACTTATGCAACTGCAATATTTTAGTTTTTTATGTTTATTCCCCCCCACCTCACCCCCGCCTAAAAGATTTCAGTTTGTTTTTCAATTGAGTTGTACAGTTTATAGGTCATATTAAAGGTGGAAAAAGTTCTGAAATGATTTCTTTGTCTCATTTTTTACATCACAGAAACCTGACATTTTAAGAGGGGTGTGTAGAGTTTTTATATCCACTGTATGCGCCGGGTACGTCATGCCAACCCTATACACGCCGTGTACGTTGTGCCGATCCTATCATCTCTGTGCAGTATTCACCTTCAATGTAACAGCTTCCAGCATAATCTATGGAGGTCACACATCTGGAATGTGTGCTTTCTTGTTTTGGGAGCCCATTGATTTCATTGGCCTGCCAAACACACCAGAACACACAAAAAATAGTGCCTACACTACATTTACAAATTGTGCCACATACCAAACCACGTGATACCATGCGGTTTTGTGGCTGCAAATGTGCTGTGTTTGCATGATGCGTTTAGGGTGACATTAACAATTATCGTCACCCACATGCACCTTAAAGGCTAGCAAGTTCTTGTGTGGAATAGGAAGCTCACATGGAACGTGCCTTTCCAACACCGTCATTTCACTATGAACCGGCCATAAATCTGACCCTAAATGACAATGACTAGAGAAAGTGATGATCACTTCTATGACATCCACTCTTTTAGACACATAGATCTGGCCATGTGTGGCCACTTGTCAACAGACCATTCATTTCAATGCCAATCTTTCAATGGATTATATGTGGATTTATTGTATTTTATACATGTTATTACCTCAAAACCTCCTTAGATGTGTAGACACTGAAAAGCCTCAAGATCGCTGCTTGGTGTAACCATCCTGCATGTGACTTCAGCAGCCCCATCAGGCTCAGAGCTGCACCCAACCTATATATTATAGCATTCCCCTTCTCTACTCCCACCACCTTCTACATAAAAGTCTGTAGAGGAGCTAGGCCAGCACAGACATGTGCTTTTCAGTCACTCAGAATAGCAGAGTGTAATAACGTGTAGATGGAGGGGGCTGTGCTATGGGATTGATTCTTGCTGAAAATTTTAAATATTCTTGCAAGCTCAAAGTTACATTACAAGTGAATAAAAGTCATTTATAGAAAAGAAAAATGCATCAAGCATGGGCGAAGCATGAACGGTCACAGGGGTCGCAATTTTGACCCCGTCCCTAGCCCCAGAGGGCCAGCGGCTCTCAGCTGTCATATATGCTGCATTTCCCCCACAATATCCTAGAGACAGTCCAGTTCCGATTCACCTTGTGTTCTCCAGGGCCCCAACTGAGCTCTGTAATTCATTGACTAGCTTCCAGTTTGCCTTGTCCACACCCCTCCTTCGCTCTTATTGGCTGGGGAGAAGCCATGTGAGCCTGCGAGTGGAGGAGCAAGAGCAGCCTTGGATGGGGACGTGTGACAGTGTGCTGACAACAGTGGGAGGGACAGTGAGCCGCCTGTCTGACACACAAAACGAGCGAGGCAGGAGGAGAGCCAGGACAGGATGACTGTAACTTAGGTAAGACACTGCTCTGCTCAGGTCACTAACCTAACGAGGATTCTCTGCACCTCCTCACCTTGGGAAGAACAGACGCACGTGGGAACACTGATTGATAGCTTGGAACAGACACATGGTCCCCCCACAGCACCTGCCAACACTTACAGAAAAGTTACTTAAAAATCCCCTAATACCCCCTGAGGGGCCCCAAGGGCTGCAGCCTC